TCTCTCGAGTTCCCTAACAAATGGACGCGTTTTTCTGCAAATCTTGCGGTCCATTCTGAGGCCATTTTGGGGGCCCCAAAACGAACCCCAAAATGGGGTCCTCCCTCTTACTTTCCAATTAGGCGGTTCCAGTTTTGGGACAGTTTTCGGCCTCAAAATAGGGACCAAGCAGAGCCAATAAACTGCGGAATTCTGCCGGACAGACGTGCGTTTGAACCTTTGCCAAAGTTTTACCCGACCTGCAACCAGTACTAAATCAATCAAAACGCCCCGCTGAGTAGCATGCGGTGATGGGCTTGTACATCCTAAGCACCGTTGTTTGCCACTGTGGGGGTACTCTCATGTGTCCTACGTTTTTTGTTGTTTTCTGAGCCCCGAACATGGGCTCGCAAAGCTCGTCGAAAGCGTTGCAAGGTAGGGAAGCGCTGGGCAGAGGCGTTCCAGCTTGAAGAGGGGTTGGAAGGGACTTGGCAAGAATGCGGTGCATGAACGGTGCGCAAAGTGTTGGCCCAACTCGTGCCCAACCGCGACAATACTGCGCAGGAACTGATGTGTCTTCGCAAAGTCTGCTGGAGCGTGGTCTAGGTTTCCAAACCATGGCCACAGTGGTCTTCTGGAGTTCTGGCGTTGTGTCCTTGCGGAAGGGCCATCTTCATCTTCTTTCTGTTCGTGGCTCGATGTTGTTGTGCTTTCGCCCTCCTCTGATCATATGGAGAACTCCTTGGTGGATCGTGTGGAGCGACTTATAAGCAGGGACGAAAAGCTTTGAATGCTACCAAAAAGGAGGCCACCAGCCATGTTCATCTTCTTTCTGTCTTTCAAAAAGCCTTTAGAGGCTGCCTGCTTGGGTTTGCTGATGGCCTATGCGTTCCCAGGCCGAAGGAGCCTGGAGCGTCGTTTCTCTATCTGCCTACTGGATGTCCTCTGCGTAGCAGAACCTGTCCGGAACTTTCTGGCCCAATGGGTTCTCTCTGGCAGAAAGTGGCCTAATAGATTCCTTCTGGCAGAAAGTGTCCGGAACATCGTTTTTCCATATGGATTCCTTCCGGCAGAAAGTGTCCGGAACATCGTTTATGGCCTAATGGATTCCCTCTGGCAGACAGTGTCCGGAACCTCGTTTTTCCATATGCCTAATGGATTCCCTGTGGCAGAAAGTGTCCGGAACCTCGTTTTTTCATATGGCCTAATGGATTCCCTGTGGCAGAAAGTGTCCGGAACCTCGTTTTTCCATATGGCCTAATGGATTCCCTCTGGCAGACAGTGTCCGGAACATCGTTTTTTCATATGGCCTAATGGATTCCCTCTGGCAGAAAGTGTCCGGAACCTCGTTTTTTCATATGGCCTAATGGATTCCTTATGACCTATCCTATGGCCTAACCTATGGCCTAATACACCTTCCCTATGACCTAATCATTTTCGCGTTTTAAGAAGAGAATCTGTTCTTTTCCCACACGGAAATGATTAGGTCATAGGGAAGGTGTATTAGGCCATAGGTTAGGCCATAGGATAGGTCATAAGGAATCCATTAGGCCATATGAGAAAACGAGGTTCCGGACACTTTCTGCCACAGAAATCCATTAGGCCATATGGAGAAACGAGGTTCCGGACACTTTCTGCCAGAGGGATTAGGCCATATGGAAAAACGAGGTTCCGGACACTTTCTGCCAGAGGGAATCCATCAGGCCACATGGAAAAACGAGGCTCCGGACACTTTCTGCCAGAGGGAATCTCTATTGGGCCATGACGTCGCGATGCTCGCAGCGTCTTCTGCTCGCGGCCCGGTAAGGTTCACAGACGCGACGTCATAGACTGTTGCCGAATCTACGGAGCCCTTCTAGATTCCCCCTCCCCCCCCCGTCCCCCTCCATTTCAGTGATGTCGTCTGCTCGGAGGTGCGTGTCGTCTGCTTGCGCAGGGCTTTGTGGTCGTGCGGCTCCAAATGTTTGCAGCAGTGCCGCTGCAAGTCACTGGCCGCCTCTGTGTAAACATTGAAGTTGGGGGGAGCGGGGGTCTGGAAGGTTTAGGACGTAGGGTGCAAACAAATCCAAAATTTGTACTATCTCGCGAGGCCATTTTCAGTGTCCGAAAAACCACGAAAACTGTAGGACACATCAAGGTACCCCCACAGTACGCATGGTCGCCGCTGCCGGCGGAAGCAGAACAATGTCGTCAGCCATGGGGTGGAACACTGGGTCAGCCGCTGAGACAGACAAAGATCGCCAAGACGTGCATTGACGAGCAGATCACAAACACTTCCACGGCATCTTCAGGCCGTTGTGACGGCCATGGCAGCAATTGAAGATACCATTCGGAGGTGAGTCCATGTAGCGGTAGGTGCAACCGGGTGAGAGGCAGCACAGCTTTGGCTGCGCAACTCGGCTGTCAGCGTCAGATCCTTCTTGGCAAGCTTGCCAATCTCCGGGTCCGGACGCACCGCGCCTGCCGGATCATAGAGGGCTCTTAGCAGGCCGGTAGTGGCCACCTGCGGGAGCTTGTTGCCTGAGGGGAAGAATATTGTAGGCGCGACGACTCATAACGTTGCAACCTGCCTTGCAGTAGTGTTGACCGTGTCAAAGGAAACAGCGTAGAAATAGAATGCGCCGCAGCGTTGCCGCAGCACTCGGTGGCAGGTTCCACGCAGAGCATGTGAGACCCAATCACGACCGTGATGGGTGGAGCGGAGGCACTAAAGAGCCTTTTGGAAAGAGAGACCCCCTCTCCTCTGTGGTCACGAAGACGATGGAGCCCGAACCTCGGTGGGTCAGTGAACTGTGAAAAGTTGTACCTCTTGAGCTGCCTGTTGAGTGGTGGAGCCGCTCAGTGTGATGGGCTGCGATATGTATATCATCAGGCTGCTGACTGCAGTTTGGGAGCAAGCCAATTTTCCTGCGATTCCTGGAATTTTCTGAGGTGCAATGGTTATCTGGATATATTCTGCATGGTTTTGGTTTTGCAGAGGTTTTCTCAAAGCACTGGAAGATTTTCACTGGGAGCTGCGGTTTTTCATGGCATGGAATCTTGGTTTTCAGCTGCGAGAACAGTTTTCGACATGTGGCATGAGTTGCTTGAGCTTTTGAGTGAGCTGAGTGAATGCTGTGTGATTAGAGTCCGCATGAGTTCTCGAAGGCCTCAAGGTACCTTCTCGAACAGCTGTAGTGTGTGCAAGTTTGTTTGCCAGCGTGGAGCTTGTAGGAAGCTGTGACGGCATGCTTTTGAAGCGAAGTTTTGTTTTGGTCATGTGCTGAAGCACATGTGAATCTGGAAAGCCGCGCTTATGTGTGGCTCAAGGCTGGAAAGCTTTGAGACTGAAGCTCGTTGAGAATGGGCCAGTGATGAAACTTGTTCTGAGGCCCATGAAAGCAGAAAGCAAAGCTTAAAGCTTTAGGTGACAGCAGTGCAGTGCAAGAACAGCTGATTTCTTCGTTTGTTGCGCGAGCAAAAGTCTGTGCAGACCTTGACGGGTTGTTCAGGGTTTGTAAGTTTTACATGGTAGCGGAGCGCTGTTTGTGCTCCCACACCATTTCCGCCGACCCAAAGAAGGTGTTATGTCTCAAAGGCCTATAGGTCCAAGTGCTGAGGCGCCAGCTCCGTGTAGTCCAGGTCTTGCTGAGGCTGGAGGGGAGTATGGGTGTGGTACAGCTGGGTGTGGGCAACAGGAAAGGAGGCAAACAGGTGTGGAAGGTGTGAGTGGTGTTGGGTCAAGCGATCCATGGTTTACAGGTGTTCAGAGAGATCCCTGGGCGTTGTATGGAAATCGTATGCGTGCTGGAATGGGACCGATGGAGTCTCATATTAGCATGCCATGTCCACCTTCGAGCGGTACGTCTTCAGTTGCGAGTGCATGTGCTGGTATTAGGCCAGTGGCGCCAGCTCCAGGTTTGTCAGTGCCTTCGGGTCCTGCGAGGAATCTTTCGACAGTTCCGAGTCAAGGATGTTGCAGTCAGGTTTCTGGAGATAATGCTAGTGCAGGGAGACAGCTGCTTGATCGCATGAATGCGCGTGAGTTGCAGTCCTTGTATGCAGATCTTAGCCAAAGACTGAATGTCCCTGTGAGTGGACAGTTCGTTCCTGAGAGATTGGGGCAGTCGCCACCTGATTTGAATGTGCCAGCTTTTGTGAGACATCAAGGTAACACGTTACCTGGTGTTCCAGCTGAAAATGCGAGGAGCAGTGAAGACAAAGACGTCTTTAGTCGCAGTGAGAAGTGGCTAGGGTCTCCACCTTCGCCAAATCATCAAGCGTGGAAAGGGCGTGAATCCGAAGTGCTGGGCATGAATGCCTATATTCACGAGTTGGTTGCATGGGCGAATCAAGCAAGTGTTGAGTTTGGAAAGGAGATCGCTCAGGCCGCGCGATGGCCTACACAGATTGCATGGAACACGTTGTCTAAGAGTCAACAAGCGCGAGGAGTTCGTTTGTTTAGTGTGCTGAAGGCAGCGTTTGCAGATCATGGGCGGATAACTCTTATGATCCAAAGCTTCGGAGAAGGGCTTGACATTGTTGCAGTCGCCATGCAGGGAGATGTTTTCGGGAACTCTCTTTCGTATATGGGTAATGGCTTTGAGTTGCTTAGGCAGCTTGCCAAGGAGTTTTCTTTGAGAAGTCGTGCTGAGGCTATGAGTCTCAGGGCGATGCTGATGGCAAGAACGTTTCGAGCGCAAGACTCGTCAGCTCCAGTTGCTGACACAGTGCGTCAGATTGAGGTGGCAGTGGCAAGGTTTGTGCGTTTACTTTCGACGCTAGATCCTAGAGATGCTGCTGGGTTTGCTTTGACTGACAGTGATCAGCTTACGCTTTTGATGAGGTCTTTGCCTGAGAGCGCAAAGGCGTATACGTTACATCATTCGCAGGGTGAGACATATGCCTCATATCGATCTTCAGCTTTGCGATGGGAACATCAGCAGCGTTTGTTTCTTGAGTTGCAAGGGGCCAAAGGTTTGTTTGGCTTGCATGAAACCGAGTTTTCTGAGAGCGCAGGTTCGCCTGAGGCAGGTGAGGGAATGGATGGTCACGTCTTTGGCATGAGTGCTAGGCCTTCTGATGCTGGGAGCGGTGTGAAGTGCAACCGTTGTGGCAAGAAGGGGCATCAAGTGAATCAGTGCACGGCAGACCTTTCCAAGGTTAAGTGCTTCAAGTGCGGAGAGATGGGCCACATATCTTTGAACTGTGCCAAGGGCAAGCAGGGTGATGTTTCTCAGTCGAGTGCGAGACCTAAGGGTTCTGATGGCAAAGGTGCTGCTGCGGCCAAGGGTCAAGTTTCTTTTTCGCCTAAAGGCAAGAGCAAAGGAAAAGGAGGAAAGAAAGGAAAAATGTTTGCTCTGTTTGATGAGGAGACAGGGGTTTGGTGGTACACAGATGCTGATGAATCTTTTTACACCGAAGAAGGTGACGATCAAGAGACACAGCAGGTGGATGCCACTCTTGTGTTGTCTTGTGTCATTGAGTCAACTGATGAGCCCAATACGCGTTTTGAAGCTGTCCTTGAAGACAGCGAGTCGGTGTCTGTTGTGCTCCAAGAGCAGTTGTGTCAACCTTTGTTGCAGTCGTTGGGTCAGTCGCTTGGAAGTGAGTTTTGGCTGCTTGACTCAGGTGCGTCATGCTGTGTTATCAACCATGTGACGTTGAAGACGCTTCCGCATGATGAGTTGACTGCATGTGGTTCGACGTTTATGGCTGCGAATGGGACTCCTGTTCCCTTTGATGGTCGTTGCCATGTTGTGCTAAAGGTTCGCACAAAGGATTCAAGTGGAGCTACCAAGAATGGTGTCTGCAAGATTCCTGTGATGGTGGGTGACACTCCTTACAATATCCTGTCAACGCGAACTCTTGGAAGGCATGGTTGGCGTGTTGTCTTGGATGAAGGCGTTTCTGTGTGTCATGTGAAGTCGGGTGTTGATATGATTGATACCTGTATTTGGTGTGACACGCCTTGGATCCGCGTGATTCCTCATTCAGCAGGTGATCTCTTGTTGCCGTCGGATGCCTCAGTTGATCCTGCTCCAATTTCCTCGATTGGACATGTTGCAGTTGTTTCGCAGAAGACCAAGGAAGATCTTGAAATTCACAGAGCAAAGGGCCACATGCCCTTCCATCCTGATTGCGAGCATTGTCTGAAGTCCCGAGGTGTTACCCAACACAGGCGAAAGTCTGAGAGCGGAGTGGAAACAGAGATTGTTGCAGATTTTATGTTTCTCGACTCTTCTGGAGAGACGATCAGCGTAGCTGAGCGCCAGACAAGTAGCTCTTTCAAGGTCCTCGTCCTTCGTGAGGCCTTTTCTTCTTCTATTGGGGCTGTGATGATAACTGAGAACATTGCAAAGGACAGAGGTCTTCTTTTGAAGTGGCTTGCTGAGTTTGGGTTGTCGTCCTCACAGGCAAGCATTGTGCTTTTGACAGATTCCGAAGAAGCGGTGAAGTCGTTTGTTGCAGGTGCGTCGGATAAGTACATCTTTATGGTGCGCAAGGCTGCGCCACAAGCTCATGAACAGCTTGGTGGTGCGGAAAGGACAGTCCGGGTCCTTAAAGAAGGGCTAGCTACTCTGCAAAGTGATTTTCAGTCGCTTGGTTGCGTTTTGTCGTTTCAGAGAGACTTGTTGCAGCTTGCACTTTCTTACCTGTGCATGAGTGTGAATTCGAATGGCAAAGCTTTTGGCGGTGAACGCTCTCCAAAGGAGGTTGCAGTTGGTCGAAGGTTGCCAGATACCCCTTTTGCGTTGTTTGGGTCCAAGGTGCTTGCTGAGGTCCCTGAGTCTGTGAAGACTTTGTGCCCGAATATGTCGCGTTTTGAGGCGGCAGCTTTTCTTCACCCGCAATTTGGGTCGCTTGGGAGCTTGGTGTATGCGCATGTGCGTGTGGGCCAGGTCTTGACGCCAAAGGTGTTTGTTGCCAAGTCGATCAAGCTTGTGTTTCCGATTGAGCTTGTCTTCGAGTCGGGGATGTTTGAAGTTTTGCGTCGTCGTGGTGAGCTTGGGCCTGAGAGGCCAGATCATCCAGTTGCGCCTCGGATTCTTCCGAGTTCCCAGGGTGCCTCTTTGAAGTGTCCTGTTTCCGGTCCGCCAAAGGAGTTTTTTGAGAGGTATGGGTTCTCAGGTGAGTGCCGAGCGTGTTCTAACATGGCACAATTTGGGTCTAGGAAGGGCTCTTCTCACGGTCGGGCTTGCTGTTTGAGATATGAAGCGTGGTTGCGGTCGCAAGTTGCAACAGATGACAGCATGGACGTTGAAGTGCCTGTGGCTTCGGATGCAGAGGCTATGCGTGAAGCTCTTTCTGAGCTAGCCGAGGATGAGTCGAGGCAAGACCGAGCTGTGGAGGAGGCTCAGGGTTCTCCTTTGCCTCCCCCGGCCAATGGGGACGCTGCTTCGTCTGAGGCTCCAGCGAGGATTGTGAGCGAGGCGGCCCCCAGTGGTCGTGTTTTCACGCGTGGTTGTCCTGCGTGCGAGTCTGGCATGAATGCTCCTGGCATTCGTCACAATGCTGATTGCAAGCGAAGGAACCAACATCTCAGTGTTAGATTTTATGTTTCTGGGGAGCCCGATGATGACGAAGCTTCATCCAGGCGTCTGCCTGACAATCTTGAAGGAGCTGCTGCTCCTGAGTCTGAGGGCATTGGGGCTCTTGATGAGGACACTGAGATGCCGTTTGCCGATCCAGTGTTGACTGGAAGTGAAGGCGGAGGCAGCCTAGAGGCTGAAGAAGTGCTTCGTGGAAGCAGTGCTGTGAAACGCTCCTCTGAAGTCCCGTTGGAAGATCTGGAGCGTGAGATCAGGCAGGACCAAGAAAGGGTTGCTTCAGTTATGGTTACCTTCCACAATTGTGAAACAGGGAATGATGTTCACATGCCTCTTGCGAGTTTTGTTGAGCAGGCGTTCCAGGTTTCCAATTATGTCCCTTTGCTTTCAGGGCTTGTGGATTCGGTTCAGTTCGCCCCGAACTCTACGAGTGTTGTTTTGCCGTTTGGAAAAAGGTCGCATTTGAGACTTTGGAAGCCTAGTTCCGCTGTTGATGACTCTACCTTGGGTGAGCTTTCAGGAGATCAGGTCATGGAAGGCATGGTCAAAGAAGTCAACAATTTGAGTCACATGGAAACTGGGGATCTGTTGACTGCTTCAGAACTTCAGAGTCTTGAGAAGAGGTTCCCAGGTACCTTGAAGGTCATCCCTAGTCGTTGGGTCACGACGCAGAAAACACCAACTACAGTGCGAGCTAGGATTGTCATCAAGGATATTGCTGGCAAGAACTCAGAGTCTGCAAGGGCTTTGGGCATTTCAAGTCCTACTCCTAGTGCCGATGCTTTGTTCACGGTTCTTGGGATTGCAGGTTGCAGAGATTGCGTGATTGCGAGCGCTGATGTATCTCACGCTTTCATGGCTACGCCTTTGAGAGAAAGGGATGTGGTGATGAGGTTTCCTCTGTCAGTGTCTTCGGTTTCAGGGGATCCTTTGTATCTTCACCTCAACAAAGCCCTCAATGGGCTACGCAAGGCTTCGCAGGAATGGATCTACTTCGTAGGGGAGACTGTGAAGGTTTTGGGGCTTCAAAGTTGCAGCTTAGAGCCGTGTCTGTTTTCAGGCATGCTTGAGTCAGGTCCCTGTTTGCTGTTAGTCTATGTGGATGATTTTCTGTGCATTGCGCCAACAAAGGAGGATGCAGATCACATCTTTGAGGTGATTGAGAAGAAAGTTGAACTCAAGAGAACCGGGTTGATCAATTCTTCCAAGGATGGCGGTGGCACTTTGCGGTTTATTGGTAGGGTTATCTCCAGGAGAAAGGGGGAGTCCTCTATCACAGTGTCTTTGCCAGAAGATTATTTGGATGAGACCTTCAAGGCTTATGGTCTTTCGGGAAAAGGTTCCTCAAGTCCTCCAGATGTTGCGGTTCATGTTGAGAAGCAAGATGGGGTTCCATTGTCTCCTGAGGCGTATGCCAGGTTCAGGTCTGCGTTGGGGAAAGTAGCTTGGATGACGCAGACTCGTCAGGACTTGCGTGCTTATGTGTCAATCTTGGCAACGCAGCAAGCCACACCCACGAATCATACTGAGCATGGTCTCCGAGCCTTGCTTCGATTTCTGAAGAACGACATGTGCGTGGTTGTGCGGTTGCCTGCTGCGAGTGATGTGTTGGCTCCCTCGCAACACTACCAAGGAAAGAGGCACCTTGTGTGTTTCTCTGACGCATCGCATGCGCCTTTGAGGTGCACGAAGCGCCGTGGAATCAGTGGAGGAGTGTTGACACTTGATGGCTGCGTGATAAAGACTTTGTGTCGTCACCAACAGCTTGTGTCGCTGTCGTCTATGGAGTCAGAGCTGTTTGCGTTGCAGTCGGTTGCTCAAGAAATGTCGAGTCTTGGAAAGTTCATGGCAAGGGTCTTCGTGTCGTTTCGAGAAAGCGAGGAAGTTGAATTGCCTGGGATACTTTACAGTGACTCAGAAAGCGCTTTGAAGCTTCTTCGCAATTTGGACACACCCAGGCAAAGCATACATCTTGAGATAAGAGTCGAGTGGCTTAAAGCTCGTGTCGCAGCGGGTTCTTTGGTCCTTGCGTTTAAGAAGGGAATCGAAAATCCGTCAGACCTCTTGACTAAATGTTTGGGGTCCTCGGCTTTCGGTATACATCGCGAAGCGTTGGGCTTTGAGTCGCTGTCGGGACCACTTGCGTCTTTGTGCAATCATGAGAAGAGATTGGTGATGGTTGAAGTGTGCTGTCGACCGCAGTCGAGTGTTCAAGGTGCATGTCGCAGAGTCGGGATGAGTTACGTTGGCGTGACTGAGAACATGCAGAGTGACAGCGTGTTCAAAGAGGTGCGTCGATATCTTCTGAACTTTGCGTGTGACTGCGTGTTTGTGCATGTGTCCACGCCTTGCTCTTCTGGATCTTACTTGCGTCGGTTCTCTGGCGGGAGCTCGTCGAAGTCGGATTGGGAATGGTTTGAGGTGTTTCCTTGTGTGTTGAAGTACTTAAAGCTTGGGAAGCACTCGAGCTTTGAGCTGCCATGGAACAATGAGATTTGGCAACATGACTTGTGCCAGAAGGTGCTGAAGAAGGCAGGCCACACGTTCGATGTGCCGGTGAGGTTGTGCATGACTGGTCTTTGTTCGAAAGGGGGTGAGCCTATAGGCAAAGTCTTGGGTTTTACTTCGACTTCTGAAAAGTTTGTGTCTGCCCTGAAGTGTTTTTCCAGCTGCAGGTGTGCTAAGCATGCAAGTCTGTGGCAAGTTGGGTGGACCGAAACAGGTTTTTACACTCCGAAACTCGCTGATGCGATTGTTCGAGGTGCGATCAAAACGTTGCAGTGATGCTTTTGGGGGTTTGGGCCGGGCTGTTGGCTGGGTTCGGATTCTCCTCTTGACGCCGGTTTCTTTGCGGACGTTGAGGTCTGCAGACAAAGCTCCGTACTGGTGCTAGTTGTTTTTGCGTGTGAAACCTAGGTGCGAACTCGTGCTGCCATGGTTCTCACGACCGATGAACGCAGGGAGCTGCGCCGTTTGCTGGATAAGATGGATTCTGCAGATGGCTTGGCTTCGACTGCCAATACTTCTATGACCGATGGGACCAAGCGTCTCAGAGATGTGGGTGGATATCCAGAGGATGGGTCTACTGCATCAGGATCTGCTTGCGGTGCCCAGCTGCCGATTTCAAAGGGAAGCGCAAAGGGTGCTGTGAGCACTCCCAAGTGTTATGAAGACCTCGTCGATGCATTCGAGGGGGAAGAGTTTGGGGATAGCGACAATGTGATTGTCGTGAGCTATGCAGGTACTGAGGTCACCTCGGTGCCACTTCCAAGTAATCTATCTATGGAGGATTGGGGTCGGACAATCTGCGATCTGCCAAAGGTCCAGAAGAATAAGATGTGGTTTAAGAAGTCCTATGCGACCTTGGTCAAGCTTGCCAAGGAGGATAGCGACCTTGCAAGCTACCTCAATTGGATCAAGGAGAAATTTGGTCGCAATTATGATCCGACGACCTCCTCCAGTCAGTCCTCGGACCTTGCGGGGTATTTGATGAGGATTGGTTTTTCAAAGCAGAAGGGATTCCAGCGCAAGTTGGCGGAGGAGTAAAATCCTCGCTGGGATTGCGGAAGGAGCATGGGTACATGTATGAGCGGTGAGAGCTGGTATTCTCAAGGATGCCTATGTGTATGTTCACTGTTAGAAGTCTGTTGGGCTTCGCTTTGGGTGACGTCCTGTCTGGCATGAGAGAAGAGCTGGCTATCTGGCGCGAGATTTTTCCAATACCTATGTCTTCGTCGCTTCGCATGGGTTGCAGCGTGGCTACATGGTTGGCAATGTTTCAATGTGTGCTTGGTGTCGAGAAGTGCTTGTTTTGGACAGCAGCAAGGATGAGAGATGATACACACATCGAAAGGGGGTGTGAAAAGTTGCCTCTGAGCTGCCTGTTGAGTGGTGGAGCCGCTCAGTGTGATGGGCTGCGATATGTATATCATCAGGCTGCTGACTGCAGTTTGGGAGCAAGCCAATTTTCCTGCGATTCCTGGAATTTTCTGAGGTGCAATGGTTATCTGGATATATTCTGCATGGTTTTGGTTTTGCAGAGGTTTTCTCAAAGCACTGGAAGATTTTCACTGGGAGCTGCGGTTTTCATGGCATGGAACCTTGGTTTTCAGCTGCGAGAACAGTTTTCGACATGTGGCATGAGTTGCTTGAGCTTTTGAGTGAGCTGAGTGAATGCTGTGAGCCGTTAGTTTGATTAGAGTCCGCATGAGTTCTCGAAGGCCTCAAGGTACCTTCTCGAACAGCTGTAGTGTGTGCAAGTTTGTTTGCCAGCGTGGAGCTTGTAGGAAGCTGTGACGGCATGCTTTTGAAGCGAAGTTTTGTTTTGGTCATGTGCTGAAGCACATGTGAATCTGGAAAGCCGCGCTTATGTGTGGCTCAAGGCTGGAAAGCTTTGAGACTGAAGCTCGTTGAGAATGGGCCAGTGATGAAACTTGTTCTGAGGCCCATGAAAGCAGAAAGCAAAGCTTAAAGCTTTAGGTGACAGCAGTGCAGTGCAAGAACAGCTGATTTCTTCGTTTGTTGCGCGAGCAAAAGTCTGTGCAGACCTTGACGGGTTGTTCAGGGTTTGTAAGTTTTACATGAACTCCAGCAGTCCAAAGACAGGAGGTATCGATGACCGGGTAAAACGGCCGCGCAGTGATGGACTGACCGCGGGGTCCACTGTGCTCAAAGTCCACCCTCCAAAGGAGGAGCTGAACCGGGTAGCCATCTATGCCACTGTGAGCTGCTACCGCTGTAGCCTTACAGAGCGAGGGAACGCGATTCACGGACTCAAGAGATGAAAGCAGGAGCAACAACGTATGTCGTCGGTCACAGGAGCGGCTGAGAGAGACTGACTGTAAACAAAAAGACCAGCTGCAGCCGAGCTATCGAGTAGACGCAGCATGTAACGACCGCTCGAAAGGAAAAAACGCTTATGCAAGAGATAGAGCTGGTAGTTTCCCTCACCACCCGGGTCTTTGATGCCCTCAAGCATGGTCTCGGCTTCAGCAATGCTCGCCCCGCCAACCGCGGACACGGGCAACGCGCACCGAGTGGTGGCTGAAGGCACCTCTCTCGAGGAGTTTATCCCAGATTGGCTGCCAGCGCTCCTCCCGCCTGGACACTTTACCACGGAGGCGCAGGCTGCGTCCCTCTTCTCTTTCTTCTATGACCATCACAATGAATTGGGAGCATTTGTGGATCTTCACCACTACAATCTGCGCTGGCACCACGGGTGCAGTTGACATCTGCATTCTCAACAGGGCGGAGTGCTTTACTATGACCGGAGAGGATGCTCATCAGCGGCTTATGGCGGGCAGCACGCGGCCCACGGGCCCCTTGATCATCGTCTCCTCCACGCATTGGTGGAGCCCTCCATGCCATCATGCAGGAACCCAAGTTGATGCCTCACTGGACGATTCGCATGGGCGGCCAAGCGTCGTTGTTCGGGGGCCACAGCTGACGTGGTCTTGACCGTTGGCGCCTGCAGCCCTCGGTGTCCTCCTTTGAGGGGACGGTCCGTTGTGCGCGGGTCCGGTTCTGATGTCCACAGTGGAGAACGCCACCTCCAGCGAATTGGCCGTGTGATTCGCTACCAGGCATCCCTCCGAGGGCGCAGGTGCAAGCATGGCTAGCCTGGGGGCTGCCTGCGGTTGCTGGCGGGCTCGGTGGCCACGGCACTGGAGCTCAGACGTTCTACTCCGGCGGTTTGCCCTTAAGTGCCTTTGGCCACATGCGAGCTGTTGGCTACTCAGTGCCGCCTGCCTGTGACATACGTCGCTTGCCATTTTAACTGTTCTGCGTGCTGTCCCTAACGCGTGGCGGACCTGCTGGGTCCGGTCGAATCCCCGCCAGCCCGTCTTTGTGCTAGAGGTCACCTTAATTGCCAGCAGATGTGTACCAGCAGACGACGAGGATGAATTCGGGAACAGCATGACACTCTTCGCCGTTACCAAGCCAGGGACAGGCTTCAACAGACGGTTAAAGGAATTGACTGCGCTGGGCACTGCAGCAATTACTCCCCAGCTCTCCGGACTGCCTCACCCTGCTTTCCCTCCCCTTGTCGTTGCCTGCTTGCGAACTCAAGCTCAGTCACAGAACTTTGGGGTGAAAGTTGTGGACTTTGCGGATCGAGCTCTCATGTTGCGACGTTGCACTGAGAGCGAAGCCTTTCGCGTCTGCTTAACACCACTGCTTGCTGTGTCCGTGGCATTGGCCCAGTTTTGTGATCCAGTCTTGCGCTTCAGAGAAGGCCCTTCCAAGCATCCTAGAGAACAGCTTCCGGAATTGGCTCCGTAATTCGAGCGTTCTTTTGGCCCATGTGTTGCAACGATGTCCGACGTGGAAGCACCTCCTGTTCCTCCCCCTCAAAGAGTGGAGTTGCCGCAGGAGTGTAGAACGTCCTTCGTAAATAAATGGTCCCTCCTCGTCTGCCTGTTGCTAGGAGACTTTGTCCGCCCGTCTGGCCCGCCTGCGACAGGAGCGTCAGGATGCAAAGGTGTGGTATTGTCTGCGTGTCTACAAGATGTCTTGATTGTCTTTCGTCCAAAGCAGGTAGAAGCGCGCGTAGAGTCGCTAAGATCCTGAAAGCAGAGCAAAAACGACTTTGCAAGGCATGGTTCTGTCTGCTGCCCCGTCGAATGTAGATGTTTGAACTTTCCCAGGCCAAAACAGTAGCACGGCAGCTTTCTGAATCGCAGTAATTAACCCTTGTCGTTTCTCGCACGATGGCGCGAATGTTTTAACGCGCATTGAGCCCGGCACTGAGAGTGATCAGCGGTCAGTGAGCTTCGCTGTCGCCTCTCTGGTGTTGAACTGTTGCCCCCGCAGCGAGTATCTGTTGAGCAGTGACTAAGCTCTGCCAGCTTTTAGTACGTGAGTCAGTGAGTGTGAATGAGTGAGCTTAGCTGCGACGAACGGCTGCCTGCAGCGCGTAAATTCTTCTTCGGTGTCAGGTGAGCAGTGACCAAGCTTCGCTCTTTCTTTTCCAAGGGAATGAATGTTTACGGCTTTGAGCCCGGCGCTGAGAGTGGTCAGCGGTGCGAGCCCTGCCGAAGCAGTGGGTGAGAGTGCTTGGCTGTGGCCCGAACTGTTGCGTGGCAGCTAGTAACTTCTTCGGGCTTTGAGCCTGGCACTAAAAGCGATGACTCTGCGGAGTGGGGTTTGCCATCTGGCAATGAGGTCTGCCATCTGAGCCAGTGAATGTATGAGCATTGCCCAAACTGTTGCCTGAGCAGCTGGTAAACTTTCCGGCTAGTCAGTGACGAAGCCTTGCTTTGACGTAATCCCAGCCTTCTTTTTCTGAAGGCCACAAACCGTGGTTGCGTTGCGGTGTAGGGTTTAGGATGAGTAAGTGAGCCTTGCTGTAGTCCATGTGGGCAGCCAAAACTTTTTGTTGACATCTAGCAGGTTTTTCCGAATGCACGAATGTGAGCCCGTCATATCATGCTCATTCGCTTCTGAAATGTTGAGCCTGTTGCAAGGTCGAAGCTGAGCGCCGTAGTCTTTTACGTAGAGCAACGCGCAGCATGGGAAATCTGGATCCGAAATTGTCCGCTTGCAGAAAGCTAGGACAGGCAGACTTTACTGATCCGCCGCAGTTTGATTCGAGATTGTATGCTGCAGGGTGTGAGGATACAGACGAGGGAACCTGAACGAGCCCAGAGGTGGCAGGCAAATGATTTCACCCTTAGGACAAAGCCGGTGGTATAATACTCAGCTGCCAACTGAGTTTGATCGACTCCGGCATGTCTGGGACCTTCCACCGTTCTAATAGTGTTATACTACCCAAAGGGTGTGTAAGTGGGTTCCCTTGGTTTTTTTGCAGCAGATGGGGTGGGTTCCCTGTGGGTTCCCTTGTTTTTTGCAGCACTTCAAGTGGGCTACATATGGGTTCCCTTGTTTTTTGCAGCATTTCGGGTGGTCTGTGTATGTTCTTCATTTAGCTTTCTTGTAGATTCCCATGGTTTTTGCAGCATGGACGGTGGGTTCCCTGTGGGTTCCCTAGTTTTTGCAGCATTTTTAAGTGGGCTCCCATGGTTTTTAACAATATCGACGGTGGATTCTCTGTGGGTTCCCTTGTATTTTGCAACACTTCAGGTGGGCAACATATGGGTTCCCTTGTTTTTTGCAGCATTTCGGGTGGTCTGTGTATGTTCTTCACTTAGCTGTCTTGTAGATTCCCATGGTTTTTTGCAGCATGGACGGTGGGTTCCCTGTGGGTTCCCAATTTTTTGCAGCATTTTTAAGTGGGCTCCCATGGTTTTTCACCGTCGATACGGTGGGTTCTCTGTTTGGTTCCCGGGTTTTTGCAGCATTTGAAGTGGGTTCCCATGGTTTTCCAATAGGCTCTTTTGGCTTTTGCAGCATGTCAGCTGGGTTCCCTGTGGGTTTCCTATTTTTTTGCAGCAGTTTTAATGGGTTCCCATGGTTTAACAGCATCGACGGTGGATTCCCTGTGGGTTCCTTGCTTTTTGCAGCATTGCAAGTGGGTTCCCATGGTTTTCCCAGCATATATTGCGCAAAGTTCTGGGTGGGCTCCCTTGGCTCTTGCAGTGTGTCAG